TCCCAGTTCCGCCCATGTAACTATGTTCGTGCTATAATGCTACGTGACTACATTGGTTGAGCGGCTTGAATCTGGGCTGGAAATCTTGATCGAAGGAAAACATTGAAAAAGAAACTAGAGTTACAGCTGAAGCTTGATCTAGTTGTAAGGTCCTGTGAGGTGGCAAGGCCCGATCGGAACTTTTTATATCGTGCCAGCGAAGAAGGGCGTATGAGCATTCGAATGCTGCCAAATCTCCCCAAATCAGAGATACATTTTTGAGAAAAAATTCGATAATTTTTCTTTGATATTTTCAGAGTCTTTAGATTAAACCGTGTATAAAATGTTCTTACAAATTGGGAGTAAAATATTCGAAAGATTTCCAGAAAATTTGCATTTTACAGAGGGTAAATTTGGCAACGCACGAAGGCTCATACGACTTTTCTTCTCGGGAGGGTGAAGCCGGGGTCGAGAGCGGGCATACCGCGGCGGAAAAAGCCGGGCAACGCTGCTGTGCTAGGGAAGAACCTCGTATGAGCCTCCAGGCGTTGCCAAATTTCCTCGGACAAATCAGAGGTTTAATTTAAGATTCTAAAATTTAGCAGGAAGATTGAAAACAGAAGACCTGACAACGAGGAGAAAGGTATTTACCAAATTAACTGTACAGAATGCAATAAATTCTACATAGGACAGACCAGCCGTTCACTGAAAGTAAGAGCCCAAGAACATAAAAGATATGTTAGAAATAGACAAACAGAGAAATCAGCAGTAGCTCTACACTACTGGGAAGAAGGACACGAAATATCGTTTGAACCGAAACTGCTAAGAAAAGTCACTGAGAAAAATAAACTAGACATTTGGGAAAGTATTTACATGTACCAAAATAAGAACAACATTTTTAATACGGATCTAACGGGAGTAAATAACAGACTGTTTACAACAATACACTCGAGATGTGACAACGATGGAGGGACGGGAAATAATCCGGGACCGAAATCAGCTGATTGGAATTGACCAGTCGCGACGATGATGGAGGGCAGGTAACCTCCGAAACGCGTCCGCTTCTGTGAAAAGAAGATTTTATGCAAGTGAGTGGTTCAAAAATTGTCTTAAAAGTTTTTTAAATTTTTTAGAATCTTAAATTTTACTCTTGTGTAGTGTTTTAAACTCCTAAAAAATCGTTTCATCAAATCAGAGGTTATCAGGGAAATTTGTGAATGATTTTCTCCCGATTGTTCTGAGAATTTCGTTTCTAATTTAATTTAAAGTGTTTGAAAATTTCAAGGTAAAGATTCATAATTTTCCTCTGGAATAAATATTTTCTGAGAGGAAATTTGGCAACCTGTGAATGCTCATACGGCGTTTTGTCTTAGGTCGGCGGAACGGTGCTCGTGGAGAGGAACCTGTCGCAATGAGATTATCGGTGGCGGTGGCTGGGTTGGGCGCGTGGGGCGCATCGAGGGCGCTACACACACACACTCACACCCAGCGGGCGCTACACACACACTCGCAGAGAGAGGGCCGAGACCGGGGCGTCACAAAGGGCGACTCCCGGATAAGTCTATTAGGAGCCAACGACATGGCAAATCGGATCAACTGCCTCCCCTGCCTCCCCATCCGAGGCGGCGCCGATGTAGCCAGTGGCCCCGAACAAAGCGATTATTTTCACGAGTCTCGTGGGAATCTCAACCCGAATCATCGAGTCGTTTTGACTTGTGCCATATTGTAAATATTATTTCATAGCCCGCCACCGCACCGCCCGACCGCACTTGTCCCGCCAACACGGGGCTATTAGCTACACTACACTCTATTAGTCCATCGAAAAATGATCGCTCATCTGACGCAGGCATCCGGGCCACACTCCTCCCGAGCGGCTCACATTGCCTAATCCAGGGATTGAAGGCGAACTGGTTCCATCCAATGGGGAACACAAAATGAGAAGAACACATACATATGTGAGGAATACATACATATGCATGAGGAATTAAACCGAGGATATTAATCGGTAAGAAAATAAACAAATGTATGAAATGATTCTTCTTTTTATGATTTCACACTGAAAAAAAAGATTGGTAGAATTTACCATTTCTTCACGCTGCATTTCACACATGCAGCGTTAATTTAGAGTCAATCCTGCCAGAAGAAAGGTAAACGTTACTATATACTGGTACAGGTAGGTAACCATACCTCTGGCAAAATCGACTTGCAGATTGCGGTATAGAATTTACCATGCACATATATATTGATAAAAATTAATGAATTCTTTAATGAGGGGCTTGGAGACAAGGCGCATAAGTCCAGTTTTTGCTGTTTCAAGAAATACTTGTTTAAAGTTTCAAAATTACGTGGAGCCTTATGGTGGAAAGGAAGTTTAAACTCACTTTTTTATGTTCTAAAGTTGGATTTTAGTTTTGAATTTTTCACAAAATATACTTTCAAACTAGTTTTGGTTGAGTTCATGAATATCTCAATTTTTTTTTTAAAAAAAACTGCCCTTATGAGCATTGTCCTCTAAGCCCTTCAAAAGAAGTCTTTAAGCAACAAAACTCTGCAATATACCCAAACATTAAATTAGGACTGAAGTTAAAACTGAGTCAGTTTTTACTTGTTTTGTATGCAGTGAGCTTAAAACACTCACGCTATGGCTGTGATTACAACGAATGAACATACATATAATCAAACTGCTGCAAGCAACTATTACTGCTTCCATGACGCTAACATTGCCTAGTCAAGGTGTTGAAGGCAAACTGGTTGGAGCGAGCTCGAAATAATCACGCTAAGGGCTAAGGCTGTGATTAAAACGAATAAACATACATATAATCAAACTGCTGCATGCAACTATTACTTCTTCCATGACGCTAACATTGCCTACTCAAGGTATTGAAGGCGAGCTGGTTACAATAAACAAAAATGAGTTAGACAGTGGGGTGCGTCACCGAAATGATGACATATTTTTGGTCGTCATTTTGGCGACGCGTCCCTGTGTTTACTTCCGATTCCAAATGTATGATGGTTCTGAAATAATCATATTTCATAACTGAGCAGTGTCTTCGAGGAAAAATTAATTTCAATGCATGAATAAAGTAGAAAACGTGGAGTAATGTGAAGGTTATGTGGTTGAAAGAAAAAAAAAACTCACGTTTTCGCACCAATACCCTTCTTCAATTTTGAAATTAGCTCACATTGAACTCTTAAAAGTTTTTCCGTTTAAAATATGTTTGAGCCAACCTTGTTAGTGGACCCTTGGAAGACAAAAATAAATACATGTGATAATAAATAAACGGTGGTAATAAAACTTCGGCCTTTTGGCCTTTTAGCTGAAAAGGACCCTTATGTTCATAGGCTTGAATTGCTACTACATCACTGAAAAAAAAGTATGGCAACACCTACTATAAGCCTACTTGATTTTTTAGACAGTGATACTTTGTAAGGCGAAAATAATCAGAATTAGCATAGGATTCATCAGAACTCTGGTGATACTAACCAAAATATATGTTAAATGATACCGTAGAGTCGGTGTTTATTACCACACTCGGATTGCTGTGTCGGAGTATGGTAAAATCTACCATATTTTTTTTCAGTGCGCAGTAGTACAGTAAGCCATCTCTCCTGGTAAAACAATCCCTATGTTTCGCTTAAGAATTTAGTTACCAGCACTATGGAAAAAAATTCGCTTGGATCTAAAGTCCAGCCTCTTAATAATATTGACAAGAAAAAATAATCTTGATTCAATCCGGTTTTTCCTTAAATCGAAGAGCCGAGCCTCTTGATTTAGGCGGATTTCCTTTTGATCCAAGCAAAAAGTCCGATTGAATCGAGAGTTTTTTTTCTCGTCAATGCTTTTAAGGCCTTGTCTCCACGGGACGTTTTCATGGGATTTGTCCCAAGTTCGAATCGCAGGAATGAAACTTCTGGGGTTTTTCCCAGTTACCGTCTCCACGGGACGGGGCTCATACAGTCCTGCGACTAGTTTGCGCGGGAAGATAAATTAGTTGAAGTCGAGTATTTCACCGGAATTAAAATAATAATTGCACTCAATTGACAATTAGACATATTTTTTAACTAAACAAACATTAACAATGTAGTAATGAATAAAATATCGCACAATTCGTTTTCACTTCTTCTTCTTCTCTCAGTGGGTCCTAGGGGTACAAGTAACATACTTGGTACTGGGAAAAATATTGATTAACTCAATATTTTTCCCAACTTCGTAAGTGGGATTTTTCCCTGGGAAAAATCTCGCGAAACGGCTCGTGGAGACAAGGCCTCAGAGTCTGGACTCTAGATCCAAGCGACTTTTTTTTTCCAGTGGGTTCGTAAAATACGTACCTCTGAATTTCGGATTTTCGACCCCCCCTTCCCCCTCCATCATTATTTGGGGCTTTTTCTCCGTGAGGCCGTATCCTTTAACACGTAAAAACAAAATGGTGTAACGCCCTGCTTCACACGTAGATTGTAACTTATTCAATGCATGGCCCCAAAATGTGACTAAAAAATTTCAATTTTCAATCCGCTGTCGGCACACTCGACAAATAGGTGAAATCTGATGGTAGGGCATAAGCTCTGAGAATCTGGGAACCAGGAAGAGTCGAAGGGAGACGCTGAAAGTGATTACACGCGGAGGGGAGGGGGCGAAGGGGGGGGGCAGACGAAAACTTTCGCGGAGGTGGTGTGAAACAAAATATAATTTCAGGAACAAACATGTACCCATGCACGCAGACACGCGCGCGCGAATCCGCGAAAAACCGCGCACGTTCAACGAGAGCCCCACGAAAAACCCGCGGTTCTTCCATGGAACTCCCGTAAAAGTGTACGTTTCACGGGGCCGCGGCAAGGGGGAGGGGGGGGATTTGTTTGAGTTGATAGGAATCCTGTACGGGAGCCGGGACGTGATTCCCGGCCGGGGGACCGTGGCCCCGCCCACCGGTGGGCGCCGACCAATGGGCGCGCTGGGCGGGGCCACCGCGCACTCGGCCAACCGCGGCCCGCTCTTCGCGATCCTCAGTATCGCTTCGAACGAACGCGGCGCCCAGCGGTAGCGCGTATCCGCTCCTCACCGGAAACTCACTTCGAAACCGACGAATCAAAACAAACCACGCGCGGGAAAACAACATTTTTCAAAATCCACAAGCGCGACCTTCGTCTCATCGTGCCGTGCCTCAAAATTTTAGCAAATACAGTTGAATTATGAAATAATTCGCATTCCGGTCGCGATACCCTAACCTAACTTCCGAATTTTTACATCTGAATTGTTTATTGTTTTTCTTCGTGATCTTAGAGGGAAGGAACCCCTGAATTTTTAGTCTGTTGAATTTTTTAATCCTTGTTTGTTGCCAGGAGTGTGTCACTCTATAGATCATCAATTTTTCCCTCGAGATATTTTTTTTTTCTTAGTTTTCCAATGTTTTGTTTTCGGTTAGAAGTGATGTGATTTTTTCTATTTTTTGCCATGTGGGCAAGCCGGGGGGTTCACCGTTCAAGGCTTCATTTTCGTTTCAAAATGGTGATAGTGCTGCCCACGAGGATTGTGAATAAGGCGTTTCTCATGAACGCAAGAATCACCCCGTCGGATCGATAGGAGGCAAAAAGCAGGGATCATCTTATCATGACTGCAGTTATCTGAGCGAGAAAATGCTGCAGGAGTCAAGATACAAACATTTCACGGTGCCCACCATCATCAAGGGCATGAAGGTAATTTAGGAGTACATTATTTGTTTTAACCTCCCCCCCACCCTTTTTCTAGGATGACTATTTTTAAAAATGGCAAATTCACTGGAATAAAAGTCGCTTAATTGGATCTAGAGTCCAGACTCTTGAAAACAATGACAAGAAAAACTACTCTTGATTCAATCGGAATTTTGCTTGAATCATCAGAAGGAAATCCGCTTGAATTAAGAGGCTTGGTTCTCGATCCAAGCAAAAATCCGATTGAATCAAGAGTATTTTTTCTTGTCAATGTTTTCAAGAGTCTGGACTCTAGATCCAACCGACTTTTTTTTTTTTTTACCAGTGTATGTAATTTTTGAAATTGAGTTGATTGTTTTACCTACGCCGATTCGTTATTATTCCTGAATTAACCGCTGCGAACAAGTATAATTAATAAATGGGGGGAAAGATCTCGCATGAGTGTCATTAAAGGAGGCATTGTCGCCCCCTGATGTCGCTTACCTTTTTCTATGGCCCGTATAGTTTTTCAAATAACTTCCTGATTTTAATACTTTCTATCTCCCGGAAAATTTCTCTCCTTTTTGAAAACTTTTGGCCCCTCTGGGATTTTGCTGAAATACCGCCCCTTTTAAAAGGTCAAAGGGGGATGCACTCTCGGAGCGTCGAATTTCCTTGGCATACGAAAAAATGTTAAATTCGCACAAAAGTGAAAAAGTAAATTTGAAACGCATTTCGTTGCTCTCGCGTGGATCTAGTATTAATCACGATAAAAATCTATAAATTCGGGTAAGTTTAATTTGGAGGAAGGTATTAAAAAGAAAACATTTTATCGTTGTAACATTTTCTTTCTTCCTGGGAGGGAAAACCCGTTACAGGTAATGTCTAACTAAACATTGTTCAATATTTTAACTCCGTAACATCTTGAGTATGCTCTTATTTGAGATTCTAAAATCACCAATAATTCTCGTTAAAATCCCCTTGGTGAGAACACAACCACGAAAATTGTACATGCAAATGTAGTGATAATTCTCATTTTCTTACAAATAAACAGGAAATAGGTAAAGAGGAAGAAAAAAGATTGAACTTTCCTGAGTGGGCATGGTAGGACATGTTTTAAACTACATATAGCTCTTGCAATTTTTCATTCAAAGTTTATAGTTAGTAAGTTTTTTATCGACCAAAGTAATCGTGAACTTCAAAAGAAGCACCATTATGATATCATACTTTCAGATCACACAAGGTCTGTCAATTTTAGAGTTTTCCTTCCACGTAGAGCATCACGGCTCAAAATGAAAGCTGTAAAGATCACCGCAAAGACTTGGAAGATGCATGATTATTTTAACTCAATCAATGATAAATTTCAAAATTAACCTCTTCAAAAAAATGGATAACATAAAAATAAAAAAAAAAAAAAAAAAAAAAAAAAAAAAAAAAAAAATTACCTAAGATCTCAAAACCGTTAATTTTCTACATTTGCGCAGAATTTGAGTGATATATTTCAATGTTTTCAATAAACTCTGCCCCACGTTAAAGACGCATAATTAATTCCATAATCTTTCAAAACTACTCCTGTGGTTAGTACGAGGATCCACATTTTCAGTGAAAAAAATTTGAAACCAGATTTGGTGTGCTGGAGTATGTAAAAGCCATGCCCTCACTACGATCCAATTCTATCATATAATAATGCTTTGTTTTAAAATTGATTTTATATGAACGCAGAAATAATTTAGATACTATAATATAGCCGTGCATTACCTGAATGTGCACATGACACCTAACAATTATTTTTTCCCCTTCGTCGCGTTTGTCGCAAGCCTATTGCCTATAATAATCTGCGAGAAAGTTGGAAATCGTCCGAGGCCCCCTATTATTCGTATCAAATGTACTACATTTTGCGGAATGGCACAGATATTTTTGGCTCATTCCAGAAACAGCATATGTAGATGCCATTGTTTCTCTCTGCAGATGTATGCTAGGAATAGGCTCCTCATTGCAAAATACGCAGTCCAAATGATATGGTCCTCGCTGTATGGTTCGGCCAAGATTTTTTTACGGTGCATTAACGCCAAAACCTATTAATAGAAACATCAAGATGGAAGCATACGTGTTTTCCATGGTACAAAATATGTATACTTTTTTTACCCTCCTCCCTTCGCCTTTCTATGACAGCGGCGATGTGAGAAAAGCCATTAGTTTTGTCATTTTATGGAAAAAATTGAAAGGAAGAAGAAGAAAAAACACACGTGTTGAATGATTCGAGGACAAGATTGCTGGGATCTTCCGTTGAAGTAAAAAGTTATCAATAAGTAAAGCACTTCACCTGCCTGGAAACAGTTTGTTTCCCAGGAAATTTTTGTTGTGACGTCATGGCCCGGACTGAAAACAAGTTTTTTCGACCATGCTTTTAGCTACTCCGTTGCCACCTAAGACAGTATATCTGAATATTTTCGATTTTATTTTATTGTTGCCGTAACGTCGCTGAATTTTAAAATGAAAAATTCGGAACAATTTCCATGCTCATTTTTGCTCCTGAGTATTTCATACAAAAAATAACCATTAAATGTGACCTCGCAAACGTTGTCGCTGGAGAGATTTTTTTTTATAATTCAGCAGTCGAAAAATCGGAATTTGAGATTTCAACGAATGACTTTCTCTCTTGTCGGTATGGATGATAAAATTCTTGCAATATGGTCCATTTTTCATGTCATAGAGGAAGTTCACTTGTATAATAATCCCCCATTTTCACACCCTGAACGTAGTAAATTAGAATTCTGAATAGCTTTTCGACGGTGAAACTACCAAACCACGTATCTCGGTTTGCGACGTCGCAAACTTCCTGTCATACTTTATTTTTTAAATGAAAAACTACTTAACGTCCAGTCTTGAAAATTTCTGTGATTTTTCCTCTTTGTGCGGAGAAAATTCTGTGAAAATTTCAAGGAATGATATTGATTTGGTCTACTTCAAAAAAATAAAATGTGAGCGTAGATTTTTCAACACCGCAAACGAGATACGTGGTTTGGTAGTTTCACCGTCGTTTTACGTTAGAACCTCTGTTTTTGAACTGTAGACTTTAAACCATGAAAACTCTACTTTGGTTTGACTTTCATAGATGTTTTTTGTCCCAAAATTTTTGTAGGACCCTTCTCTATGCTCTATGCATTACAACTCAATTATGCTCTTATAAATTAAGTCCCCATCCCCCATTGACGATCGCAAACACGGAGACAGATACCCTGAATAATACATATTTTATCGCAATATACATTTATGGTGCTTCATTTTTTAGTACAGAGATTAAACCATTTCAATTCGTAAATTGCACCTTCCATTGCATTACCTACTTAATTATACTACTTGATTTATCGCCGCATATTACCTGTTAGAATAATTGATAACATTTTCACCCTCTGTTACGTAAAATATACATTTTTGAATCAGAATATACAACAGTCGAACGTTCGCTATGTCATAAATACAATAGTGAGCACATTTTAGTGCGATGTTGACTCTTAATTTTTTTCTTTAACTGAATTATCACGGCGTAAGATGCCTACTTAGACGTGAACATGAAACGTTGTGAAAAAAAAAATTCCGTGCGTCACGCAGTAAAAACGCACGTTTGTTACTCTCAGACGCCACTAACTTTGATTTCTCTGATTAATATGTCGCAGGCAACTATATCAAAGTCGCTGATAATTTGCAAGTGACTTGTATGCTGCCTCCGATGAGCGCAATAATTCGCACCGGTTAAAAGTTGAATAACCAAAATCATTGTTAGTAATCCAGCTATTCAATTTCTTTCTTGCCTGAAATATATTTTGAATATTTTGGTGCAAAATAATACGTTTGTATTCCCTTGCAAGTCATTGTCGTTTCCTACACGCAATCAAGCTAAAAACATTTTAAAATCACATAATTACTTAATGCTTAAATCCTTGTATTTGAAAAGAAAGTGTTGAAATTGAAATTAATACAGATACATTTTTGTAGGCCCGGAAATATTTTGAAACATTTTTAGTTTTCAACTTTCGATGTCCAATTTTGCGCACGGTATAAAGCTCGTTGAAAGCTGAAGTGAATATCATAAATGTTTTGGAAGTTGGAGGCTGACAAGGCGTAGCAAGAGATGTAGCAGCTGTTATGATGTGATGTCATAAATTTGAGGAAAGAAGATTTATGGCAGGTGGAATTGGAACGAGATTTATTTATAACGTCACATCTTAACGGATAAACAAAATTGGCACATTGAAGTAGGCTTCTTTAAACTACCAGATGCGTGTTTGGCATCGTCCTGCGAGGGCGAATGTAAATGGAGTGACATGACAATTGGTTGCAGGTTTTTCTGTTTTTGGAGACGTACAAATGATTGCGTCATTGGGATCTCCACCCCTGCCGCTCATACGTTTTCTACGTTTTGCAACTGGAAAACATCTCCGATACAATGCTATAAGCACTTTAGGGGCTACTAGTGCTTCACATTAGCTATAGAAACACTTTTTCCTTATTTCCATGTGTTTCATTCTATGTATTGAATGGCTTTTCCGAGCAGCCAATGACATTGAGGATTCAAACTCCTGTTACTTTTTATTTGTATTTTTTGGCGTTTCACAAAATTATTCCTCTGCGTGAATTCCTTTAATTGAGCCTGAGAAAAGACATGGCCACAAAATATCAAACCACTTTTTCCTCATTTCCATGTGTTTCATTCGATGAGCTGAATAACTTTTTCGTGCAATCAATAGCATTGAGGATTCAAACGCCCAAAATACTTTTTACTTTTATTTTTTAGTATCTCACAAAATTATTTCTCCGAGTTGATTTCTTTAATTGAGCCTGAGAAAAAGATTCCCTTGATTTAATTCCTTTAATTGAGCCCGAGAAAAATACATGACTACAAATATCAAACCATGATAGCGGTCATACGTCCAATAGAGTTTCGATTATCCTTGCGCGGTGACAAGAAGCTGAGCTATCGCGGAGGAGTGATCAGAAGGCTGTATCTTAAAATCATCCTATCAAAT